ACACCACTAAGATTTAAATATACAGACCCACTTGGATCAACAAGTCGTCAATTATAAGATTTTCGTACTTGACCATCTGAAAGTCCCTTAGCCAGAATACTATCTGGCATTGGCGTAAATCGCTCATAGCGTGGATTTCGTTGTTTGCGGTTGCGTGCATCGCCCACCTCAGGAATGGCATTCCATTCATTTTCGGATACATTAGCCAAATCGCGCTTTAGATCCATAAACTGCTGTTGAATCTTAGGGCGTTCACGACGATATCGTTCCATCTCTTCACGAAATCGCTTCTCACGATACTCCCGTCGTCTTTCATCCATACGATCATCAATGGACGCATAGATGGCGTCCGCTTCTTGATCATCTTTTTCATAAGGATCCTTGGAGCACAAACTTCCCCCGTAACCAGTGAACTGTGTACGTTGAAATAAACGAAAACGAATACAAGATGAGATCTACCTCTGATATGATATATACAGGAAATACACAAAAATGTTTTTAGTTGACATAATGACAATAGTCTTTTGTGTATTTCTTAAGCGTACAAACAGAGATAAGCAAGTTATTTGGTACGCAAAAACGAAAAGTTCGGGAAATCGGAAGAAATTTATTTGCAGTAAAAGCGCAAAAAGACATTGACCGACAAACGACTAACAGAAGTGCTACACGGTTGGATTGCTGGAAAAACTGAACATAGTGACCACGATAGGACCGCGCCAAAAACAACTAAGTTTTCGGTTCAGTCTGTGAAAATATCACTCTAGTATCTGTGTGCGCCAGTTTTGGCTGCTGTTTCTCGGCTACCCTACGGAACGACCAATAAAGACAAAGTCAAAGTAAATGAAAACTATCAGTGGTGCTATGAAAAACTACAAAATGTCATAAAAACAAATTGCTTATGCGTACACTAGTGTCACTGCCTACGACACTTGGTTGTCGCATTGGACTCTTTTGCTGCTGCGAAGACAGTGGCGTCTGTGTTCTTCTACCCTGCAGTACACAGTGTAGCATTGTCCGGACTGCTACAGTACAAGCTTGAACCTTTTTAGGAAAGTCGTCGTTATTCGAAAAGTTGACGATGAGACACCTTACCGGACTCTAATAAATGGTATAAATTAGAACTATTTTGTACACCAAAACAAACGATGAAATGCACTAGCAAGTAAAAAAAGCTACATTGTTACGACTGTCGAAACATCGACACCCAACAGTAGAGGCAAGATTCCATTCGCATCTCTTTGGCAAACTCGACTACGTACATACATACATTCATACGTACGTACGCCTAAATAATCGGTTTTTTGCTACTGCAGAATGTAGTCTCAGTCAAATTGTTGAAGAACAAGTTTTGTTGTTAGCCTAACATGGGGCAGCATAAACTAATGCAAGTTCACAAACTGGGTGCACAAAACTTATCCGGACTTGACGAGCTTTATTCACATGACCATAGGGAGCAGTCAGTTCTAGTATTTAACGTAACAGCAATCCTGTTCTACTCTAATTCCAAAACCGAATTTTGTTTCGTGTTTACACACTGTCCAAAGTTTCCCCCAACTTTTCCTACGCATACCACTATTTTTGAATTATATTTCATGCTTGTATGTTTGGGCTTAGACCGTCAAGCGAATCGTCTTAGTAACATCTATGTGAGAAAGAAATCAGTGTATCATTTGATCATGGGCACGATAACTCCAAGTTGCCCAAGCAAAAGCATGTGGTTCCATCATTTAATTATTACACACATTTGTGTAAACAGCAGACGGGGTGAACCTGTATCGCGAAGACCTGCTGTTCGGTGATGGAAACTGACAACCTATGCACCAGGACTTCGAGTGGCGCACCACACAAGGCTCTTTTATGTTAGCGATTTACAGCCAGGCCTGATCCACACCAAACCTGGGCGGTGTGAAAATCGCATTTCGTTGGGGGTTGGTATTGAAACTTACGTCATGGAGAGGTATCTCACACTTTCATAATGCGTCCATAATGCTTAAGCAGTCGGTGACGATAGCAGCCAAGATGGCCCACCAGAACACCTGCACCTTTTACCATAGATGAATATGTACAAGTGTGACGTCAAGTTACCGACCCCCGCAAAACTTATTTTGTATCTATCCGTCAGTTTATCGAACTGCCATTTTCGGATGCCAAATATGTAAAAATCTTTACGTTACCCATTCTCATTACAACAATGGAGATGCATCACAGTCTTTATGTGGTTTGTGGAATTACGTACTTCATCGTAATTCGACTCGTTTAAATCTTCCTCTTCTTCTTCCTGTTCCTTTCGCCTTTTTGAAGGGGCAACATGTCGCTCGTCAGAAACATCATTGGCTTCACGAGCTGGACCGATATCGGAACGGGTTGTGAACGCAACTGCACCTCGACCGATACCAGCAGCATATCCAAGTGGAGCCGGTAAACCAATAAATTCTTTTCTTTTTTTAGTGACAAGAGCCTGTGCCGACATAGCTGGAAATGAATAGCAGTGTGAAAACAGTCACTCTAAATAATTCTAGAAAATCTAAAGATAAACCTTTTAAAGCACAAAAAACGGAAGATAGTACACAGGAGGAGCACCTCCGAAATCCTCAGTATGGTCTCGGGTTGCGGCTGGTCACCCCTCCCTTGCACCTCGCGAAATGCTCCCATACGACCAAGCGTCTCAAATAGCCTTTGCTCAGGAAGCCCTACTCACTGACTTCTCGTGGCGGAGGTGTTTTCCCACCAAAGTGAGAGGAGGAAAAGCCGATATACGGGGCTATAACCGGGTTGGCGGACCACTGGCAGTTCACCTAAGGGAGATGGCCCAGAACCCTGATTCCAAACCAACTATGAGGTGTACGAACTACACCCACACCTTTCTGGTTGTGGTAACTGTCACCGGCTCGATTGGGTATCGAGGTGTATTGGGCACCTTGGACGTTTGATCCCGTTCGAAAGGCGTATTATCCGATGAACAGGACACCGGGTCTCAATGGATTGCGGTTTCCGTACACCGCACCGCTGCCTTGCAGGTCAGGCTTTGGCTAGCCGAAGGTTCCGGTTGTGGATTCCTCACGAAAATTCACCCGCCTTGGCCCGGGCAACCTGGTAGTATTCGGACCATATGCAAATCGTGGAACGTGGAAATATATATGCATTTTCGTCACAATAACCTTGTTTGCAACACCGGGTGACTTTTGGATAGATAGCTCTTTCGGAGCCAGTCCACTGAACCATCAGTGCTATGATTTAGTGTTTTTGTAAGTGGGTTAGATGATGCTAACCGCGACAAACGTTACTTGATCGTCTTTACCGGATACGAAGGCAAGATGAGAGACAAGAACCGCGAAACCAGTCGTGTGCCTCCTGGGAAATTTTGGCCAGTCATTCACATACTACTTATAATTGGCCGAAGGG